GCGTCTGGCAGGTTTCTTACCTTCCTCTCCATCTCTTTCTCTCATCTCACCCACCCTCATTCACTCCCCCGCCCTCTACCTTCCTCCCTCAAATGTGTTTCACCTCTCCAACCCCTCCAACCTTGTTGTTTTTTGAATCTATCTCACTTTTTTTTTCTGCTGCTGTCTATCTAAATTTCTGCAGCTCTACAAGGCACAGCAAATGAACATTTTTTATATTTATTAAAATTTTAGGGTGATTTAAATGGGTGGGGGTGGGGGGATAATTTCCAATGGATAGAATCCTCCTGAGCTGGGTGCTTAAAATATTTAGCTATCTAGAGCGGATGTTAATGTAAGAGTCTGCAGCTTGCATTACGGGAAAGCTGCTCAATGAGTGTAATTTTCTGAGCTGGTGCACATTTTCTGTTGATGCCACAGAGACACAAGAAGGGCAGAGAGATGGTTGCAGGGAAAAGAAGGTGAGAGAAAGGAGAAAAACGGAATAGGACGATTACAAAAAAATAAGAAAAAGAGTGCAGGCAGTCTCAGGGGGAGACAAGAGACAAAGAGGGGCTTGAAGTGAGATGGAAGACCAGACAGAGACACAGCCATGGATGGAAAGAGAGGGGGATTAAGAGGAGGAAAGGAGGAAGGGAGAGGGACATAGAAAACGTTTCTGTGTTAATGGAGTTTGCCATCTTGTTGCAGCCGCTGGCTGTTGTCGTGGCGGTGGCAGACAGATGGATCATGAATACTGTCTAGACACACTGCAGCCTGATGCCTGCATCTCACTCCCTGCACCTCCTCTGCTCTCCTCTCCTCTCCTCTCTAGGTTCCTCACATCTGCTGCCAGCTGCAGTTTAGCACAACAGTGAGAAACAAGAAACCAAGTGTTGTTTTAGACATAGGTAATTTACATTTAAATCAGATCTAATAAAAATGGCATTAAAGAGCATCCAAAGTTTGCTTAGTACCTGTGCTTTTGTGGCAGCCAATTTGATTCATTAAAGTGTGTCTTATAATGCCCCAGAGCTTGCTTCCCTAGATTTAATGCATTTGTTAATAATGTTTTTAATTATGCTCGTGCATCTCCTGTACAGGCTGCTAAAGCTACTGTGAAGAGGAGTAAAGTCAACAGAAGGACAGTTAGCATCGTCTACAATGTTTTTTCATTGAAAAAAGTTCCTTTTAAAGTGAGACAGTGTAGCCTTTAAAAATAATGTCATTCTTTCAAAGGGACCTCAAAGCTCAGTTTAGTGCATTCAAAATACTAAGGCATTTTGTTGGTACGGGCTCAGTGTGGCCAGTAGCTTATAGTGGCTGATGTTAGCTCAGGGGTGGGCAATCTCAGTCCACAAGGGCCGGTGTCCCTGCAGGCTTTAGATCTCTCCTTGGGTCAACACACCTGAATCACATGATTAGTTAGCCTCTGGAGAACTTCAGGACATGTTGAGGAGCTAATTTAGCCATTTAAATCAGCTGTGTTGGTTCGAGGACACATCTAAAACCTGCAGGGACACCGGCCCTCATGAACTGAGATTGCCCACCCCTGTTTTAGCTAGTGTTAATAAAGTCATAGTCATTGAAGACTTCTGTCTCTATGCTAGTTACACAAGAGAGCAAACTACACTGACAAAATAACAAAGCAACAGTCAGACAGCTCGTGTAAGAAATGATTATTATTATTACAGCAGTAGAGTATACGTAAGGGTTGCTAGGCTCTGAGCTCACTTCTCAAAATAGTGTTCCATACAGAAATTAGAGCGTGATGACTAAAGAGTATGCTGGGATGGTGGAGGGGTTGAAACAGTAGTTTAAAGGAAGTGAGAGCAAGTTATTCAGCTTATCGCCACAACTAAATTTGGAGGGTGTGTTAGGGTATATGATGTGAGGAATGTGAGGCATGTTGGTGTGTATGACACACTGTATCTTGAGTTCCCTGCCTGAATTAGTGTCTAGGCTTTGCTTCGTACCGCTACCTCTCTTTACCTCTTAGCTATAATAGTTGAATTATAGTTAAATTCACATTAGACTAATTACTGATTCAAATTTGGCCAATGTAGGTCCGGTTCTCACTGTTTGGATTGATCAGCTTCATGCATGTGAAGGATTATCATTACCGAGTAGTTTTCAGTTCAGTCCACAGTTTCTAAGCCCAAATGCAGTGCGTCAGGTGAGAGACATGCTCGTCATTAGTTCTTGCTGTTCGCTGGGTTGTGTACCGCAACTTCATTCTACAATGTGAGACAATATCGAGTTCTACTCTACCTTTGAAAGAGAAGCTATCTGGACTGTAGTCCATGCAAGAGGTATTTTGGCTACGCAATAACAGGTTTTACTCACCACATGGACCACTTACAACATTTGGCTTCCTGCAACTTAGTCCACCTTAGTGGCCAACTTAGTGGCACCTTGACGCCCTTTTGACACCCTGGAAGAGACCAAGTAAACGGAAACGTAACAATGTTACAATGAACAATCTTGATCATGGGCCAACTTTAAATCAGGCATGGCTTTAGATTTCTACTGCTCCACTATCAGAAATGTTTAATCACACCTCATATATGCATATAGGATTCTTGTTAACATGATAACTGCAGGATTTTGTTATAATGTAACTTCCAAGTGCATTAGAAATATGAATTACTGGAAGATTAAAGGCAAAAACCGAGTTGCCTGATGTGTATGCACATCATGTCAGTCATGTGTCTCAGACTACGTGAGCATTGATGGAGATTGTGGAATACTCTGACAGCACTTCAACATCAATCCAGGCACGAAATGTGGGAATATTTTATGTAAGACTGCTGTTCATGTAACCTGCAGGCATCTGTAAAATGTAAATATCTAAGAAGCACCTTACAGCCAGTATGAACACACTCAAATGCACCTGCATTCACAGCTTTTTTTTTTTGTTACCACAGAGCCAGGATGTATTCCTAAGTGGGTGCTTTTGTTAATATATTTGCATTGATAGATATGTTTATGCATGTGTCATCATCTTAGTTATCTATAGTTATTAGTCATATGCAGTCTGGAAATGCTCTTGGGGACCCATGTGGATATTGACAGATGATTGATTTTGCTGTGGGCGGAGCCAAGAAGCTGTAGTACACAGAAATTTTGCAGCATTCCAATGAGGATTTCCCTGCAGCTCTGAGCACATCGTAAGAACATTTTCTGTAAATCTGCAAAGTACTCCTCCAGTAATTTCAGGACATTATTAGGAGTTGTTCATATTGTGATAAGCAGTAGGCACTCCCTATTTTATTATAAAACCACTCCTAAAAAGGACAGTGCAACATGTCAGGCTTAAAAAAGCTTATAGCAAATAGGATAAAAATATGAGGAAGGCACACGCAGGTTCTTTGTGTCCAGTGAACTACATTTGATGCAGATGATGTCCGCTTGGTGTTAGAGTGCCAGAGTAGTAGCACGTACACTATTAAAGTAGCATTATTACTCTAAATAGCAGGAAAAATCCTTGTGGAGGCCCAAGTGACCTTTGAAAAGTAATGGCTGTGTAAAGCACCATTTAGCCCATGAGGAACCTTAAGAGAGCTTGTGTGTTTTTAAGACTGGGTGAGCGTTGCTTGCTGCCGTTTCACTTCAGCCAGGCTTGTCTTGGCTTTCTCACCTTGTTAGGCCCTGCTGAAGTATGAGGAGGGGACAGGGAAGGAGACCAGAGGATGGTTCAGATCGATGGTCAACTCTAGCTTAGCCATTGATCCCATTCCAGTGTGAACGGCACTTCAATAGCATCTAGCAAGCCTTCAGGCTGGCTGATTGATTCCGTTTGTCGAGAATCATAACTGAGGAGG